AGCGAGCAGAAGCGCATCCGCCAGCTTCTCACGGAGGCACAACTCGGAGATCGCCGTCCATCGCAGTTCCTCCGGCATCTTCGCCAGCTACAGGGCACCTCTACTGTGGAGTCTGCAGTGCTCCAGGAACTGTTTCTGCAGCGACTCCCACCCCATGTACGAATGGTCCTCGCCTCCGCATCCTCACTGTCTCTGGAGCAGCAGGCCTCCCTCGCTGACAATCTAATGGAAATCGCCAGCACTCCGCAGCCGGCCCTACATCATGTCGCCGCTACGCCTGTATCACCCAGCCCTGACGCGTCCATGGAGCTTCAAGAACTGCGTGCCGAAATTTCCTCCCTCCGCCAACAACTGGATCGTGCCAGCTCGTCTCAGCAACGTGGTCGATCCCAATCACCAGGGCATGGCCGTAGCAAGTCCCCACGACGGCCACAGAAGGACCAGTCGGACGACACTCTCTGCTTTTACCACCGTAGATTTGGCGATAAAGCCCAGCGCTGCACGATGCCATGTTCCGAGTCGGAAAACTTCCGCGCCAGCCATTAGCTGCGGCGTCATGTGCTGGCGAGCAGTCACCTAGCCGCCTCCTCCACCTGACTGACCCCACAACTCGTACACGTTTCCTGGTCGACACAGGAGCTCAACTTAGTGTTTTGCCGGCCACTCGCACTGATCGCCGCGGCACATCGTCCCAGTCACTCCGCGCTGCCAACGGTACACCCATTGCTACATATGGACACCGTAGTGTTACTGTCGACCTGGGACTCCGGCGCCGTTTTCAGTGGGTCTTTGTGGTCGCTGAGGTGGAACAGGCCATTCTAGGAGCGGATTTCCTCCATACTCATCACCTGCTCGTCGACATTCGTGGCAAGAAGATCGTTGATTGCCTCACAAATCTGTCTACAACTGCACACACCATGTTTACCGCTTCTCCTGTGCGTCCGGTCGTTAACCTCCTGTCGGCACCTCCTCCTGTCCAGGAGTTGCTCGCCGAGTTTTCAGGCATTACTCGTCCGTTCTCCGCAGTTCAAGAACCCCAGCACTCAGTCGCTCACCATGTGACCACCAAGGGTCCCCCGGTTCACGCCCAAGCTCGCCGCCTCGCACCTGACAAGCTACAGTCTGCCAAGGCGGAGTTTCAACACATGCTGGATCTTGGAATTATTCGTCCTTCGTGCAGCCCATGGTCCTCACCATTGCACATGGTCGCTAAACCTTCTGGTGATTGGCGGCCGTGCGGAGATTACCACGCACTGAACAATGCCACCGTCCCCACCGCTACCCCATTCCGCACCTGCAGGACTTCACAGGGCAACTTCATGGCTGCACAGTATTCTCGAAGTTGGACTTGGTGCGCGCCTACCATCAGATACCGCTACATCCTGACGACATCCCGAAAACGGCCGTCATCACGCCTTTGGACTGTTCGAGTTCACCAGGATGCCATTTGGGCTACGGAACGCCGCCCAAACATTTCAGTGTTTCATGGACCAGGTGCTACGTGGGCTGCCATTCTGTTTCACCTACATTGACGACCTTCTCGTGGCTAGTACTGACATGAAGAGCCACATGGAACACCTTCGTGCCGTCTTCCAGCGCCTGGCTGACCACGGAATTGTCATCCACCCAACCAAGAGTGCGTTTGCTGTATCCTCCTTCGATTTTCTAGGACATCATGTTAATCCTGTAGGTATTACTCCCTTAGATAGCAACATGTCCTCCATTCAATCTTATGCACAGCCCACTACTACTCGTTCTTTGCGTCGTTTTCTTGGTTTTGTGAATTTCTATCATCGTTTCATTCCTCACTCTGCTGTCATTCTCCAGCCATTGCATGCATTGCTGTCCTCGCATCCTGCCCGTCGTAAGTCAGTGCCACTGTCATGGACCGATGATGCAATCACTGCTTTCACTGACATCAAAGCTGCTCTGTCACAGGCAACTCTCCTGGCTCATCCACATCCCTCTGCTCCTATTTGCCTCATGACCGATGCCTCGAATTCTGGCATTGGCGGTGCACTTCAACAGTTTGTGGATGACCAGTGGCAACCTCTCGCCTTCTTTTCTCGTAAGCTCACGTCTACCCAGCAGCGGTACAGCACCTTTGGCCGAGAACTCCTCGCCATGCATTCCGCTGTCAAGCATTTTCGTTACTTGCTGGAAGGTCGCTGCTTCTTCATTGCCACTGACCATCGCCCCTTGACTTCCGCTTTGGCTGCACCTCCAGAGCGCTACTCTCCACGCGAGGTACGTCATCTGCAGTTTATTTCAGAGTTCACCACTGACATTCGTGTTGTCCCTGGCCTGGAAAACCCTGCTGCAGATGCCTTGTCCCGTATCAACAGTGTCTACCGCCCTACAGGTCGTATTGACTTCAGCGCATTGGCTGCTGCTCAGCGCAATGATGATGAGTTGATCGCCCTTCGATCTCGACCAGACACCAGCCTCGTGTTTGAAGATCAGCCCTGCCCTTCCGCTGAGTCTACGCTTGTTGTTGATACCTCTACCGGCACAGCCCGCCCCTATGTCCCGCAGCTGTTCCGATGTTCCGTGTTCGATACCTTACATGCCCTGTCCCATCCTGGCATCCGTGCGACGCAGAAGTTAGTCTGTTCTCGTTATGTTTGGCCCGGCATGAATCGTGACATTCGTGACTGGTCCCGCGCATGCTCCTCCTGCCAACGCTCCAAGATCCACCGTCACACCCGCAGCAAACCTGGCATCTTCCCATTGCCTGAAGCCCGTTTTCAGCAGGTGCATCTTGATCTTGTCGGCCCATTGCCCATGTCCAATGGCTACACGCACTTACTGACATGTGTGGACCGTTTCACCCGCTGGCCTATCGCTGTCCCTCTCTCGAACACAGTCACATCTACTGTCTTGGCTGCATTTCTCTCTCATTGGATAGGTAATTTCGGCGTTCCCACCCACATTGTCACAGATCGTGGTGCCCAATTCGAATCCATTCAGTTCACCGCCTTCCTTCGTGATTTCGGCATCAAGCGTCGTCGCACAACAGCATATCACCCCCAGAGTAATGGTCTCGTTGAGCGTTTTCACCGGACCCTGAAATCTTCCCTCATGTGCACGCCTCATCCTGAACGTTGGTCTGAGAATCTTGCTCTGGTCTTGCTTGGCCTCCGGTCGACTGAGAAGGCTGATTTGGGTTGTTCTCCGGCAGAGCTTGTTTATGGTAACTCTCTCCGTTTGCCGCAGGATTTCTACCGCGCCGCGCCGGAGGTTACACCCGACCCTGCCAGCTACGTGTCCCGCCTTCGAGAGTTTGCTCACACCCTTCAACCTAGTGCCTCTCGTCCTGCAGCCACACCCGTTCACTTGTCTCCTGACCTCCGGACCTGTACTCACGTCTTCGTCCGGAATGAGAAACGTCGTTCTCTGGAGCCACCGTACGACGGCCCCTTCCCTGTTCCCTCTCGGTCTGATAAGTACTTTTCCGTTGATATCCGTGGTACCACTCGGGTCATATCAATTGATCGTTTAAAGCCTGCCCGTCTGCCAGTGCCTGCTAGTTCTGCTCCGCCGACTGCAGCCCCTGTCCATGTTGTGAAGCGAGTCCATTGGCATTGATCACTTGCCATATCTGCCATGTTCTCCGGCCATTCCTTTCTGTTCTCTCTCCTGTTCTCTACATCTACTCCTAATCTCATTCTTCCTCTCTCTTCCTCTCGCCTTGATATTCTTTTAGGGGGGAGGTACTGTAGTGTATCCACTCCAAACCCCATGGAGATTTCCGTCAAATTTGTCTAAATCGCAACTTGTACTCTTGACCTTTCCTTACTTTTTGGTCCCGTATATCCATAATCACTCTACTCTAGTTTCTGCCGATCCCGCGTACCCGCGCGCGGTGTTCTCACGCACCGTATTGCGTGGTACGATAATGTTGTACTTTCCTATGCCGCGTACCCATTTTTGGCTTTCTTCTCCCTTTTTCTGTATTCTCCCTTCGACAAGAAGTGCTTCTCTTCCCTTGGTAGTTAGGAGACGGTTGTCGTTTTTTCTCTCTCAACTTCAGTTTATCCATGTAATTCTGGTGCCCCTGGCTTGCTGTGTCGTGTGGTGTGGGATGTGAGGAATTTGCATGCTTCCCGAAGATTCCCACACTGACTTCTTGACACGACTCAAACTTGCCAAAGTCACTAAATCAACGTCAACTACAATATTAATCAATAAACAAGCCACATATCTGCAACGTCACGAGGGTGCTGGCAAAAGTCCTGCTGGCCCAATACGTGGCTAAAAAACCTGATTTTTTGGACTTGGAGCAAAATTCTGCACACTTTCACGTGTTTCCATGATACGACAAGTAACATAGTTGCGCACGGTCTGCTCACATTCAAATACAGTGCTGCCAACAAATGACAGCGTGCAACAAAAAAATCTTTCCTTGCAGGGCACATTTTCGGCCATAACTCTTGAACGGCCGGTCAGATCGGGACACAATTTTCAGAGAATTTGCAGCTATTCATGCTCTTTCAACTGACGTAGCACTAAATATGAATTTACAAATTTGATTTTTCAGCGAATTTTTGGGTAGTCTGCCACCTTAACCTGGCATGTGGACTGGTCACCAGTGAAAGGATTGCCGTAGATCTACCACTCAGTACCAGATCTACGGCTGCCGGGCTGGGATGCTGCGGGATCGCGGGTAGGCTGCTACTATTGTAGCGCTAGTCCTGGTGCATAGGTCTGCAACTATGTGTCAAAGACGATGGATCTGAAATAATGAGATCAGAGAGCGAACGGCCTCCAGCGGACATGTGGGAACATTGATCCTGAGTTGAATGATGGTAGAGTCTACATTGTCAGCTGGTGGTGTGGGGCAGTGCCAGTGGCACCTTCTCCTCTCACGTCCGCTGCAGCATTTCACCTTGTCAGCCAACACCTTCATTGCTTCAGCGAGAATGGTACCGTAGGAGTAGAGTTCTGGTCGAATGGCGCGAATCGAGTCAGGATAAAGTTCAGAATACCAGCACTTCAGCTCATCATTCCAGTTTCGACAGTCGATGTTTGCCGTCGTTCGTTTCGGATGTCCTGTCGTCAACGTTCTCGTTAGTCCGTAACGTTCTGTTATCGTCGTCGTGTATCCTGTGCTGCCCAAGACAACGTCTCGTTCCAGTGCCCGCAGGAATAAGCATCGTTTGCACCGTTGGAGCAAGGTTGCCGGCTGGTCTTCGCCGACTCTTCGCCATCAAGTCATTCACGTTTACGATTGTACTGAAGGTATCGGAAAAAAAATGAAGTCGCGAACAGTCACTACTATGATCATGATGATGGTCGTCCTACTCGTCGTGCCACTTCTAAACGGTAAGCTTGGACCAAAAAGTATAAAATTAATGATAATTTTAATGTTACAGCAAGTAACCGACTCGGAACATTTGTACGACGTGTTCTCTTTGCTATCATGTAGACCTACACAGTCTACAGGTGCACCGGTGCGGCGGTGGACATGTAGAGGCGACGGTTCGATACCGGAACGGTTTGACAGCCAAATTTGTATACACCCAAACCGATCATCAGCGTAGATTGTTCACTCGAAATATGTTTTTGGAAGGAAACTGGCATGTTGAAGTTTGCTATGAGGCCAGAGTCAATCGAACTGAGCCACTCCTTTGTGTTGGCCCATTGCCTCCAAGTTGCCCAATTTTTAGCTTCAAATCAGGGGTAGCTCCAAACCGGAAAGGTTTTAGACTGCACGTCAAATTCGCTCTGAGTTCTGAAATTAGGTAATTGCTATCGCTCCACATCGGCCAGTACAGAGTAACAATAAGCCTTGTGTGTGCTTACATTAGTTTTCATTGGTATAAGGTGCTTTATTGGCGAGAGGCGAGCCGCTGTTTACCTGCGACAAGAAGTTGATTTTGAAGTAACACGTCAAAAACTCACCTGCTTGGTGTGGCGCGTCTGGTCACCGCAGAGCCATATGAAATTTTCACTCGGAGTAAAACACATCGTAGTCTCACTGTGACATATGTTTTCTAATCAAAATACCAAGAGAGAAAGTGAATATTGAGTCCGTTCCGGTTTGCAACCTACTTCCTATTTGAAACCGTCTCCTCTATAATCATGTAGTTGTACTAGTTTTGTAGTTCCCCTCTCGCCCTGCGTCTGACACAGCCAGGATTAGGAGTCACTCACTCACCACATAAAGAAAATAAATATGCTGTGTGATCCCTGCCCCGCACGCCTTGCCTTTCTACCTTCCCGCAAGCATCCTGTACATACTGTACTGTGGTAACCTGAATATCAGCTATGCGTGTCTACAGTGTGCATATCAGAAAGTCTTAGTTTTTGAATGAGTCAGGGATAGCGAGAACTAGGGACAACATTTGTTGACATGTAAGTTGTAACCAATACTCGTTATCACTTATCAGGACGTTGATTGGATAGACAGATCACTTATCAGGACGTTGATTGGATAGACAGATCACTTATCAGGACGTTGATTGGATAGACAGATCACTTATCAGGACGTTGATTGGATAGACAGATCACTTATCAGGACGTTGATTGGATAGACAGATCACTTATCAGGACGTTGATTGGATAGACAGATCACTTATCAGGACGTTGATTGGATAGACAGATCACTTATCAGGACGTTGATTGGATAGACAGATCACTTATCAGGACGTTGATTGGATAGACAGATCACTTATCAGGACGTTGATTGGATAGACAGATCACTTATCAGGACGTTGATTGGATAGACAGATCACTTATCAGGACGTTGATTGGATAGACAGATCACTTATCAGGACGTTGATTGGATAGACAGATCACTTATCAGGACGTTGATTGGATAGACAGATCACTTATCAGGACGTTGATTGGATAGACAGATCACTTATCAGGACGTTGATTGGATAGACAGATCACTTATCAGGACGTTGGTTGGATAGACAGATCACTTATCAGGACGTTGATTGGATAGACAGATCACTCATCAGGACGTTGATTGGATAGACAGATCACTCATCAGGACGTTGATTGGATAGACAGATCACTTATCAGGACGTTGATTGGATAGACAGATCACTTATCAGGACGTTGATTGGATAGACAGATTTAAAAGTTGTGCACACTACGCAAACGAACACCTCTTATCTGGATTTGGATTTACGACTATTTACATGTTCAATCAGGGGGATTTTGGTTCGTTGCCTAATGAGGTTTGTCTGGTAACTGCACACTAACAAGGGTAGACCTGTATTTTCTATAGAGCTCATGAACTTCAATTTAACACCATAGCATTATCGTAACTTAACAGTGATAAGGTTTCCCTAAGGGTGTGTATTTTGTCTATGCTGTGCACAATCTACCTGTTATCCAAACGTGTAACTGGTCTACAACACCATTACGGATTGCGTACAGTTGGAGGGCATGACCTTGTTACAGCTGGTAAGTAATTGTATTTTGCATTATCTCTATTTCAACCATGTTTGACGTGGACAGTGCAGCCTTGGCTACACCTTCATACTAAACAGGAATAAGATTATCTTGCTGGGATTGTCTGTGAATGGCTTGTGGAGACTGTGGGAGCTTGCATGACCTACCAAAAGAACAAATTACCTGTGATTTACTTCTTCTGTGTTGATCAGTGTATATAATGTGCTGTCTTTAGAAGCTTGGTGGACAACATTTAGGATACTAGTACTACTAGTAGTTGATAATCTGAATGTTGAATGTTTGAAGATGCCTGGAGCATTACAGACACCAATTCTGAACCCATATTCGGTGAACGCATGCATGTATGTCTGAAGTCGATGTTGAATATCCACTTCTGTCACCCAACATTTCCCCACTCACTGCCGGGTGTTTCTGTTCATTTTCTGTATAGATGTCCCTACTACAACTCCCCCAGCCACTACAACTGCGTCACCCGCGTCGCAGCCTCATCCACCAACGACACCCACGTCGCAGCCTCATCCACCCACCACACCCACGTCGCAGCCTCATCCACCAACGACACCAGCCACAATGAATGCCACAGCAACTCCAGCACGAACACAAACCACTGGACCAGAGAAGGTGGTGTCGATTTCATGCACAACCAGCACGAGTGAGTTTGTTCAGTGAAACAATTTGTTAAGTCTTTGGATTTGGGGATCTGGTATATGTCACCATTACTGTGATGCTTACAGACCCACTCACAAGAGAGAGAGAGAGAGAGCGAAAGAGAGTGCGCGAGAGAGAGAGAGTGCTCGCGAGAGAGAGTGCTCGCGAGAGAGAGTGCGCGAGAGAGAGAGAGTGCGCGAGAGAGAGTGCGCGAGAGAGAGAGTGCGGGAGAGAGAGAGAGAGAGAGAGAGAGAGAACGCACGCGCGAGAGAGCGAGAGAGAGAGTGCGAGAGAGAGAGCAACTCGCATGACATTTTCTCAAAAGTGGCCTTGAGTACTGAGAGAGAGAGAGAGAAAGAGAGAAAGAGAGAGAGAGAGAGAGAGAGAGAGAGAGAGAGAGAGAGAGAGAGAGGGAGAAAGAGAGAGAGAGAGAGAGAGAGAGAGAGAAAGAGAAAGAGAGAGAGAGAGAGGAGAGCGAGAGAGAGAGAGTGCGAGAGAGAGAGAGAGTGCGAGAGAGGAGAGAGAGCGAGAGAGAGAGGAGAGAGAGCGAGAGAGAGAGAGGAGAGAGAGCGAGAGAGAGAGAGGGAGAAAGAAAGAGAGAGAGCGAGAGAGAGCGAGAGAGAGTGCGAGAGAGAGAGAGAGTGCGAGAGAGCGAGCGAGAGAGCGAGAGAGAGCGAGAGAGAGCGAGAGAGAAAGCGAGCGAGGGAGAGAGGAGAGAGAGCGAGAGAGAGAGAGGGAGAAAGAAAGAGAGAGAGCGAGAGAGAGCGAGAGAGAGCGAGCGAGAGAGTGCGAGAGAGAGAGAGAGTGCGAGAGAGAGAGTGCGAGAGAACGCGCGGCGCGCGCGAGAGAGAGAAAGAGAGGGAGAGAAAAAGCGAGAGGGAGAAAGCGAGAGGGAGAGAGCGAGTGAGGGAGAGTGCGAGAGAGAGTGCGAGAGAGAGAGAGAGCGTAATTCCAAATATTTTTGAACTGATTTCAAGTATTTTCTACTGATCTTGCACTGTGCAGAAGGGGATGCAACGGCTCTATCCATAGATCGTCATCATTACGGGATAAGTGTTGCGGCGCTACTACTCACTATCTTTCATCTTGCTTTCCATCTAGGAATATTAATCTTTGCTGATGTATACCAACTAAGATTCCGAGGTATGGGTAACTGAATTTTGTAGCCACAGACGTGTTGGTTAAGCCATATCCGAACCAACCTCCATCCATTTAGCATTTCAGTGCAAAGGGGGGTTGATGCCCGTTTTGTACACGCAACATTAACACACATACACATACACACGCACGCACACACACACACACGCACACTCACACACTGTTACATGTGCATTGTGTGTATAGAGCGCTGTTCATGGTATGACCTGTGCTCAGTATTTTGTGACTACATATACTTTGTCATGCAGGTACGGTTCATAGTAAGTAGCAACTGGACATTTTCTGATTTTTGTGCAGGGCTCTTCCATGCGCCATATTGTACTAGAACTCGAGCTGATGAGACTCATTTTTCCAACTCCTTGATTTTGCTCTCAATTGTGTTCCCAAGGGAAGAAGGATTAACTGCCGCCAGTATGGAGATGAGTTAAGACTGAGCATGCAAGCCACGCAAGCACTTCCTCTTTGGATATCACATTTGTCATCTTGCTCAGCTGGTGAGTGCAAAGACTTCGGCACCAAACACAAGCACACATGATTGTTCCACTTCTCAGTGGCCTGCCGTTTTTTTACTATTATTTCTTTTATTTCATCGTCCAGTGGCAAAAGCCAATACAAAGGGGAGGGCGTTAGCCAACCATGGAAAAAGGAGGTCAGAAGTTTCGGGTTGGAGCAGAACCCTCCCACCGACCCTTATACAAGACACCCACATTCGATGGAGAGTTCAGGGATGATGTTGTTCTCATTCTCACTTTCGTGTGTGTGTTTGTATTTTGAATTCGTTCATTTTATTCGCCTATGCTACGGTGTCCTGAATTGGCTCTCAGCGGCCGCGAGTGGTAGGGAAACGTAGGGGTTATCCGCAGGTGACATGTTTGGAGATGTCGCTGTTGCTGATGTTTGTATGCTTGTGGTTCTCTTACGGGAAATCTGGTGTGCCTGTTTACCGTAAGACTCTATTAGTCCAATGTGCTAAACCGCTTGAATACAAAGGAAGTATTTCTCTTCAGGCTTTTCCCGTTGCAGCTCCCTCAAACTATCTCTCTTCAAGCTTTTCTCGTTGCAGCTCCCTTAACTATCTTTTCTTTCCCATTTGTCACAATAGGGCTTGAAAGTGCAACGTCACAGCATAGCAACAATTTCAAAAATTCAAAAACTGGATCCACTTGGATCCAGTTTTTGTATGGATCCAAGCACATTTCAAGCAGTCTTACCCACAGCATGGTGATGTAGCCAGTGTAACTGACTGATTTGGCTACTGGGGGCGGGGTTACAACTGGTGGCGAAATAAAAGTCACACCTGCATGCGGCATGAGTGGGTTGCTATGCACCCACATACTTAGGCAATAGCAAAGTCACACCTTAGTGGATCCAAAAATAGAAATCTGATGTCAACTTACTACTCCCTGGCCGTTTTGACGTCATCACTTTCAAGCCCTATAATGCTGTGTGTTTGAATCTACTGTGTATTTTACTGTTGATCTACAGGTTGCCATGCCAATGCCCTGTAAGGTTGTGTTTCAAGCCGGAGACTATTGAACACTCACCATCATAACTACAGCTGTTAGCTGCCCTGCATACAGTGAAGCTACTTGGATGACCACATCTTCATGCAATGCTGCTGCTGTTGCTGGGAAAGTAACCACGGGTAGATTTCGACATATTGTTTATTCAACCTATCCAGTACATTACACACTCACTGGAGTTGCACATACTCTTTTTCAACAGTACAATCATCACTCTGTAGCAATTCTGTCACTAGCTCACATCAAGTCCTGTAGTCTGATCTTTGTTCCATGCAATTAGTTTATGCACTCGTTGTAGTCAATGTACGCTACCTTGGTGAACTGCCTGATTTCGAAGCATTGTACTTTTGTTTGTGGTGTTTTTGGTTTTTCCTAGTTATCTAGTCAGCGCAGTTCTCAGTTCTGCACTGTCATATTATACTTGCTGAGCTGCCTGGTTTCCATAGCATTGTGCCTTTGTTTGTCATTTTTGTTTGTTTTGTCCTGGTTATCTAGTCCTCTCAATTCTGCATAATCTGTTTCTATACAGTCATCCTGTACTGTGATATACTAGAATATTCATAGTTGTTTGAAGTACATGTACATGATGTACATGTAGCTGCCAGCTAGCACCCATGTCCATGACTGTGCTGGTGTACTCCACTGGCTCATTTTTCTTGTCCAATAAATCACAGGCAATAATACTGTGCAAGATAATGTGACTTGCATTGAAGACCAGTGCATGCATTAACGTACTATGCACGCGGGCATAACAATTCTTGTAATACAGTTATCCAACATGCCTGATTCCTGAAGTGGTCGGAAAAGTGACATTCGACTGTACTGTTGTCACAAGTGAATCCTACTGAAAGCCATGAATCATGAGCAGCAGTTCGGGTGTACTCTAGCGATCACAACAAGACTAACAGTAGTACATTGCTTTGTATATTATTATGTTCAGTATGTCTGATAGCACTTGCTCAAGCAAATGATACCGTAGTGACATTACCATAGTGACGACATTAGTCGATTTATCTAAAATTGTCCTGCTGCCTTTTGAAAGCCCCATTTTGTCGGAATTGAGGCGCAAAAACACGTCATATTTCCGCCTTCAAATGTGTTTAGCAACTCCACTTCTCAACTCCAAAAACGGTCTCTTCATTGCGACCATCATCAGGGTAATGGACCGTGATGATACCCTGATGATGGACAAGGCCAGAGAGTTTGGTGTAATGTTAATTTTAATTAATATTTGAATGGCAGTGAAGAGACCGTTTTTGGAGTTGAGAAGTGAAGTGTGCTTAATGTGTAAGTGGCTGCGTTGGAGTTTGCGGACAATTAGAAAAGTTCAAATGTGTTCTTTATAATTATAATTATTAAAAAAGGTGACTTCATGTACTCAGCGGATGACAGATTTAGCAGCGAACATCATGCATGGCTCCCGCAAGCCAAATCGTTCTCCCTCAACCCCAGGGCCCACACGCAAAATATCATCCACGGGTTTCCACTGAACTACGCAAGGCTTTAGTTGAAGCGTGGCCTATTCAGCCTCTCCAAGAAATTCCCTACGGACTACAACCTATCAGCATATAAGGCACAGCGGAACAAGGTGAGACATCTCTCCCGCTCGTGCCACCGCCAGTACATTCGTTCAATCACAACAACACTTACCTCAGGCAGCAGCACTACGCTTCACCAGTTAAACTGTTTGTCAGCAGCCAGCGATCGCACGAAGTAAAACCTGGCATCCCTGATGCTGGTGTATGACAGCTTCGAAAAATCAACCATCCTCAACAAGCAGTTTACCTCTGTCGCGGTGCCTGATGACCCACGTTTCGTTACATGTATACCCCTCTCCAATAATCATGACATTCCTCTTACTCGCCAATTCACCACCGTTCATACCACTACAGCAGATGTTCGTAAAGCAATCTCAAACATGAAATCCGGGAAAGCGCCAGGGTTAGACGGTATCACGAACAATAATATATTATGACAAAGAAGCTAGCTCCTGCGATTTCTTTTCCACTAAAAGCCGCCTATTTAACCCTCTCCTTTACCACAGGCAAGTTCCCTACCGACTGGAAACTGGCTAAAATTGTGCCTATTTAAAAGTGCAAAGGCAGCAAGTCCCAAGCTAGTAACTAACGCCCAATTTCCCTCCTGTCCTGTATTTCCAAACTTTGCGAATGGCTCTTCTTAAATCAATTTTATAATCATATTTCTCCTGCTTTGGATCCCGCGCAATCTGGGTTTCGTCGTGGCGACTCGACCGCTCTACAGCTTACCAAGCTGATCCAAGACATTGCCGACCACCGTTTGCTTTTTCGACCTCGAGACCGTGTGCTCAACTAATACTGTAACTTTCCAAAGTTTTCGGTGTGAGTGGCGCAGCGCTGGAATGGATTACATGTACATGTACACAGACTACCTATCCGGCAGAACGCAAGTTGTCTTTGTAGGATCAGAAACTGGCCGCGATAGTCAAACAATTTGACCGTCAGCACAGCAAAGCGAAGAGCAAGAAACAACAGCATGGCGAATTGGAGTAATGCGCATGCTCCGCACAGTCCCGTGCGGAAACGCGGGAATTCGGAGTGCGTTCATGTTATGCATGTACAAGTGTTGCTTATGGCAAGGATGTTGGTGTGTTGCTAACTCCACTTACCGTGCCATGCACGGAAACTTATATTTATGGAGGATCACGAGATCCGCCGAATCCGCTATCGGCAATCCACAACAACAAGGCTTCGGAGTGATGGAGAACACTCCTTCTATTCAGTTTTGAACTGCCAATAATTTCCCTGTAGACACTCATACAACACACGCCTTTCGATAGGCGTTTTTCTTCGATCTTTTCACACAAGTACAAGAAAAAACGTAACACCGACTCTAGCAACAACTGCAAGAATGCTTCATCACTGAAGGAATAATGGGAGCGCAGCGGTTCTTATGGTAGGTTGAAAGCACACAGCCAGCACATCAGGAGCCAAACACAGACGAAAGGAAACAATTGGAATAAACAATACAGTGAACAATTCCGCTGCACGGTTAACAAAGAAAAACCGCAGATAACCGCTCAGACAATCACCGGGTGGTCGCCGTCTGAGGCACGTCAATGCACAAAGGTACAAACCGGCCAATATTGCAGAAGTATTCAATATGGCAGGAAACTACTAACCAACTCTCCGTCCGTGTCCAAACACCTACATTTAGAAGCTACATGCTACGCGTATTTACTTCGGTTAAATGTAATGGCTTTCGTAACCTGCTGATGAGTGATGAGGCTCGATAGAATCATGCTACGATGACCCGACTTGAAAATTTTAAATCCTTTTTTTCTGCTCGTCTAGACCCTGCCTCCCCTCATTGCTACTTCCATTTTCGTATTTTTATTTTCATTTATTTTCTCTTCATTTCTGACTCTTCTTACTGGTTGTCATTGCTTTCATAATATTGGGCAGAACTGCCCGTTGCCATGCGATGTAAAATAAATAAACACAACAACACCCAGATGGATAGGTGCGTTGCCCGCCTCACCAAGAAAGTCGGTGTGCTGTGGCGGATGCGCCGCTGCCTCAGCATGCAAAGCCGCATCCAGTACTTCAAGTCGGTGATCATGCCTGATTTCTCATATGGCTCCAATGCCTTCTCAGCATCGCTGGCGGGTAAGCACCTGGACCGTCTCCAAGTTCTGCAGAATCGTGCGGCTCGAGCTGTGTACGGATGCTCGCCGCGCACCTCTGCCAGAAACCTGCTAGTCCAACTCGGCGCCTACCGTGTCCGGGAGATCTTCATCCAGAAGCTCATCTTCCTGGTTTGGCGCTGCCGCTACTCCCGTGCTAGCCCCACACTGCAAGTGCTGTTGCTACCAACCAGTGGCGCTCCTACTCGGCTGCGATTATCTATGGGTCTAAGACCACCGCCAACCCGCACTGAGCTGGGTAAGGGTTGTCTCGCGTTCCAAGGAGCTAGGCTCTGGAATGCGTTGCCCAGCGAGGTGCGGGCCATACCGCACCCGGCCCAATTTCGCACTGCTGCTGTTCCACACAGCATGAACCCTTGAGGTCAGACGGATCACTATCGCCATATTTTCATTATATGCCTGCCTGTTGGCCTACCTGCCCGTCTCTCTCCCTGTTCTCTGACAACTTGCTTGTTAATTCGTGCGGTTGTTTTCAGACGTAAAGCCCTGCTGTAGAGGTCTCAGCCCTCATTTGTTAGTCTCTCTCTCTCTCTGTCTCTCTCTCGCTCTCGGATCTCTCTCTCTCTCTCTCTCTCTCTCTCTCTCTCTCTCTCTCTCTCTCTCTCTCTCTCTCTCTCTCTCTCTCTCTCTCTCTCTCTCTCTCTCTCTCTCTCTCTCTCTCTCTCTCTCTCTGTTTTTGGTGGACAAAAATATCTCTGGCGTTGATTGCTTTCTTGCTTCGACTTCTGCCGCGCCTTTGTTCTCGTACTCCCCTTTATGTACAAGTGTTGTGCAGACCCTCCCTTAATATAGTCTGTCTCATTTTGTCCTGAGATGTTTTGATGCATAGTGATTATGACGCTCATCATTCGCTCCCTTGTCACTGGACAGTTCTGTCCGTTTGGTTTTAGCGAATTCAAATAAAGAAAACAACAAACAACAACAACAACAACAACAACAACAACAACAACAACAACAACAACAACAACATGGAATACTGTGGCTGTGGTATATCAGAATACATACTGAATGACAATGCACAACAGAAACTAGCAGTGTCCTCCTGAACAAGTGTGTCCTTATTTGCTGACGATGCTGCACTGCTCCGGCTCAATGAGAGTCTAGACAGGCTTCGTGACAGTCAGAGTCTCCAGCGCGGTATCAACGAAGTCCATCAGTGGATGACTACCTCGAGACTAAGACCTAATATCGCCAAGACTGAGATATTTATTCCTGCCGAACTCAGAGCCAACCCCTGCATTCACTCTTCCCGGATCCCTCACAGACTTCACAGTGGTAAAGCAACACAAGCATCTTGGTTTGGTCATTGAATCAGACTTATAGTTTAGTAGACATGTCGACTATATCTGTAGCAAAGTCAGTAAAGCTGTTGGCTACCTCGTGTCTCACTGCTCCCACCTACCGCTTGAATGCATTCGCCTTTTTATCATTGCTACATTCTCCCCATTTTTCTCTATTGCTCAACCGACTGGTCATCCCTACTAAGTAAAATTTAGTCGTTAATGAGTACCCTGGAAGGCCACAATAAGAGGATACTGAAAGTCCTTTTCTGCAAACCATCATACTTTCCTTCTGCCGAGAGCTGTATGATATGTTTAACACCGTCCCCATCTCTAGTCAAGCGGATCGAAAACGGTGTATAGTTGTTCATTCTATTCGTCTTGACAAAGCCCCCGCCACACTTGCCTAAAATAGACCGTGTAAGTAGAAATTTTCGTTTGGAATTAACTTTCGCTATATTCGTGATCCACGTGATTCCGCCAGACATGTTGTATGCATATTCTATTTTATTTTATACTTTGGATGAAGTTTTCCATTAGTCCTATTTGTATTGTTGCGAACGGCTTTTGTTGACGTCACTTCTGTTATTTCATTGTATCGTATTACCCTTGTTAGGAATGGGTTTGCTCCCACACTGGAGCTCGCGCTATTCCGCGGACGACTTGACACTTGACTGACTCTCGACTGCCATCCAGAGAACACGAGAAGTCCATCCAACCTTCAACTCGGCAAACCTGCAAGAAAGCACCACTCCCTGCTCAATACACAGTGTTTCGGAGAATTCACCCCTCATCAGTTGAGCTTGAGTAGGCTGAGGAAGAGTGTGCCTGAAGAGCACCACTTATATTATAGTGCTGTCCAGGCACAAACATCACCAGGGATACAAACTTAGAGAGACACTCCGTTTCCAGCGCGACAAACACCTTGTGAACACCAGATAGCAGCGTGATTCAGTTATCGCTCCTGGACGGTGAGAACAGACGAAGAAGACCCTCGGTCATTCACAACGCTGTCACCTCCAAACCAGCTAGTCGCACGCCCGCGCTGGGCACAACAGTACGAAATAGGGTGATGTTTGGGGGGTTTTCGGAGTTCCGTCGCCGACTCCATGGGCTGACTCTTTGCGCTTGTAATTGTACTGGCACCTTCGGCCGTAGCTGGTACCTCCATGAAGTCCTTCTTGACATCGTCTGCGGAGGCCATGACTGCGCTGGTTACGCTTTGTACACTTTTCGCGAACTGACTAACGACGAGGAAACCATCCTCTGCTACCAATGAACACACGAGTGGTTCGAAATCTTTACTACTTCTAATATTTTAAAAACAGGCTCATGGAAACAGCAACGGGGAAATACAATTGATAATCATGGAGAACACAGACTCAACTCCTCAGACGTTCTCAAACTAACTCAATAACTACATGATTGTACTCTAACCAAGGAGAAGCAAACTCCAGGGCTATAATGAGGAGAAAAGGCAACAAGGCGGGTAAGATGAACGTGAATGCGGATGACAAAGCTGGTCAATGGAGGAAAAGGTGCTAACGACTTGGCGCAAAAGGCAGTGCATGGCTCTACTGGCATGCATCGCCAGAACCTCACATACTCATGAACACACCTCTTCTGCTCACCACTGTTCATCCAGCCCTTGCCGCTATCGCGGCGCGCGCTGAATTCGGCGGTAGATCCACTGCCCTTGTAGTTGTACTCGTGCAGGAACCTGTTACCGGCGCTATGTACATTCCTCACTCCGTCACCCGGCATGTGTACTGGTCACCATAAAGTGAAAGGATTACCGTAGATCTACGGCTGCCGGGCTGGGATCGCGAGTAGACTAGCGCTAGTCCTGGCGCATAGGTCTACAACTAAGTGTCAAAGACGATGGATCTGAAATAATGAGATCAGAGAGCGAACGGCCTCCAGCGGACATGTGGGAACATTGATCCTGAGTTGAATGATGGTAGAGTCTACATTGTCAGCTGGTGGTGTGGAGCAGTGCCAGTGGCACCTTCTCCTCTCACGTCCGCTGCAGCATTTCACCTTGTCAGCCAACACCTTCACTGCTTCAGCGAGAATGGTACCGTAGGAGTAGAGTTCTGGTCGAATGGCGCGCATCGAGTCAGAATAAAGTTCAGAATACCGGCACTTCAGCTCATCATTCTAGTTTCGACACGTCGATGTTTGCCGTCGTTCGTTTCGGATGTCCTGTCGTCCACGTTCTCGTTAGTCCGTAAAGTTCTGTTATCGCCGTCGTGTATCCTGTGCTGCCCAAGACGACGTCTCGTTCCAGTGTCCGCAGGAATAAGCATCGTTTCCACCGTTGGAGCAAGGTTGCCGACTGGTTTTCGCCATCGAGTCATTCACGTTCACGATTGTACTGAAGGAATCGGAAAAAAAATGAAGTCGCGAACAGTCACTACTATGATCACGATGATGGTCGTCCTACTCGTCGTGCCACTTCTAAACGGTAAGCTTGGACCAAAAATATAAAATTAAACAGCAAGTAACCGACTGGGAACATTTGTACGTCGTGTTCTCTTTGCTATCATGTAGACCAACACAGTCTACAGGTGGACATTGTCATGGACATGTAAACTAATTACTTGTTCTAGTGTTTGTAGTTCCCCTGGCCCTGCGTCTGACACGGCCAGGATTGTGAGTCACAAACTCACCACATAAAGGAATATGCAGTGTGACCCCTGCCCCTTTCTACCTTCCTGCTAGTATCTTGTAGATACTGTACTGTGGTAACCTGAATATCAGCTATGCGTGTCTACAGTGTGTATATCAGAAAGTCTTAGCTTATTTTGAGTCAGGGACAACATTACATTTTTATGACTAACCAATACTCAACTTTGATTGGAATGGCAATGAAGTTTGTGTACACTACACAAGCGAATTACCTCTCATCCGGATTTGCATTGACGACTATTTACATGTTCAATCAGGGGGATTTTGGATCGTTGCCTAATGAGGTTTGTCTGGTAACTGCACACTAACAAGGGTAGACCTGTATTTTCAATGTAGTACATGAACTTCAATTTTACATCCTAGCATTACCGTAACTTCAAACAACAGTGATAAACATGTTTCCCTAAGGGCGTGTATTTTGTCTATGCTGTGCATCATCTGCCTGTTATCTAAACGTTTTACTGGTCTACAACACCAATACGGATTGCGTACAGTTGAAGGGCAAACAATTTCAGGTCGTAAGTAATTGTATTTTGCAATATCTTTACTTCAACCATGTTTGAAGTAGACAGTACATCCTTGGCCACAGCTTCATGCAGAACAGGAATCAGATAATGTTGCCCCTGGGATTGTCTGTGAATGGCTTGTGGAGACTGTGGGAGCTTGCACGACCTACCAAAAGAACAAATTACCTGTGATTTACTTCTTCTGTGTTGATCTGTGTATTCTAAAATAATGCGCTGTTTTTAGAAGCTTGGTGGACACAATTAGAAAAGTTGAAAATCTGAATGTTGAATGTTTGAAGACAAGTAATACTCGGTGAACGCATACATGTATGTCTGAAATCGATGTTGAATATCCACTTCTGTCACCCAACATTTCCCTAATCATTTAGCATTGTAATGACTTGCAAATGATCCGATGCAGCAAACGGGGCAGCATCGTCAACAGAACGCACCGAGAGGGGGCGGATCGTAACAAGCAAGTCCAGACAAGACAGTCTTCCATTCGGAGCGACACGGGTGGGGAAGCTGCTGGTGGCGAAAGCTGGAGAACACGTGTGATTGCTCCGTAACAGCACGTGACACCACATCGCGTGCTGATACGGAGCTATCACGCGTGTTCTCCAACTTTGGCCTCCAGCAGCTTGTCAATTTCCCCACCTGTGTTGCTCCGAATGGAAGACTGTCCTGTCTGGACTTGCTTGTTACGAACCGCCCCCTCTCTGTACGTTCTGTTGACGATGCTGCCCCGCTTGCTTCATCGGATCATCTGCAAGTCATTACAACGCTAAACTACAACATTGCCACTGCAAACACCTCTTACAACTGCTCCCAGACTCCTACCCCTCCGCGACATGCCTTCCGCAAGGTTACATCCTCCACCTGGTCAATCATCAACTCTGCACTTTTTGCCAGTGATTGGCATCCTTTATTCACCTCAACTACTGTTGATGAAGCTGTGGAGAAGTTCACCACAGTTCTTGATGACGTGCTCTCCTTCTATGTGCCACAATATGGAGCCAGATCCACAACACCCAAACATGGCAGCCACCACCCTCGTCAGTCCAGCCGTAACCCCAAGATCCCTTGGCTCGACAACGATCTCCAAGGTGCAATTAAACTCAAATAAGACTATTACAGCTTAGCAAGAAGTACTCCACCTATGCTAATATTCCTTTGTACAAAAAAACAGCGCAATCTGGTGAAGTCATTGTCACGTTCTAAGTATCGAGCATGTTTACGTTCGCTCACTACCACCCTATCTCACCCCTCTTCCAGGCCTAACCTGTATACCTTTGTTCGCACTCAAAGGAAGTACACGTAAGACATACCTCCGTTATAAGCTTCCAATGGTTCGATGGTGACTGGCCAGGCTATGTACGGAAGCTCCCATCGACAGCAGAAGCCTTTCCTTGCAAGCTCCCGATGTTCGCTGACGACATGACGTTGTATGCCTGTACACAAGCTGAGGCCGTCGCTACCGTTACTGATTCGTTATCTGCAATTTCTGTGGATCTAGACGAGCTTGGGCTGCGCATTAATACAACAAAGACTGTAACTTTGATGATTTCTAGTCTTCTCAACCCCTCTCAACTCCAATCGTTTTTAACCAACAGCCTCTGACTCAAGTGTCTAGCACGAGAATCCTGGGAGTCATTGTAGACAGTGATGTTTCTTGGTCTGGTCACATAGACTTTATCGTTAGGAAGACTTGCACAAAAGTTGGCGCTCTTCGACGGTGTTTTCGGAAACTAAGTTTGAAGGCAACACGGCAGTTTATCCTCTCTGTTATCCTGCCTGACTTACTATACTGCTGCTCTTGCTTTGCGATGAATCTATCCGCAAAGGACCGACAGCGACTCTCGTCCGTTTATCGTCATTTTGACGAGCTGCTTGTGGCTCGAAACTACAAGATGACGTCATGCCGCTGTTAGCTAGATTGTCGAGTGAAAAACTTGTCAGCGCCTTCTAGGTTCAGCCTGGTCCCATAGCTCAGTGGTTAGAGCATTGCTCATCACAAGCAGGGTCCCAGGTTCGAGTCCTGGTGGGTCTGGCGTTTTTTTCTCTTTTCAGGCAGTTCACTTCCCTGACTGATAATAATAATAATAATAATAATAAAAATAATAATCACTGCCTGGTGTTTCTGTTTATTTTCTGTATAGCTCCCCCTAGGACAACTCCTATGACAGCTCCTAGGACAGCTCCTAGGACAACTCCACAGGCCACATCCGCTTCACCCACATCGCAGTCCCAGCAACCAACGACACCAGCCACAATGCATGCCACAGCAACTCCAACACGAACACAAACCACAGGACCAACGGAGGTGGTGTCGACTTCAGGCACAACCAGCATGAGTGAGTTTGTTCAGTGAAACAATAAGTCTTTGCATTTAGGGATCTGGTACAAGTCACACTCACTGTGATGTTTACAAACCCGCTCACAAGTGCATACCCGCCATATGACTCTACTTGCACAGATGTGTTGTGTTCACACACACACACACACACACACACACACACACACACACACACACACACACACACACACACACACACACACACACACACACCTGGTCCTGGTAAACACTGCCATTACGGTCACGTGTCCCCTCGCGGGGCCGACAACATGGAAAACGACGCGCGTCGGCAGAAAGTCGGCAGTCTGCCGAGAGATCAGGGACCATGTTCAATCGGCATGACGAGAGAGCCATCTCCGGCAGCTATGGATTTGGAATCCACGAGTAGAGCGGCAGCATCGGCCACAGGCCCCACAGTGGGCCTTGCAGCATGAGAGAGCGAGCCGCACACGCTGCGGCGGTGGAGTCGCTGAGCAGCAATGGTAGACACCGCCGCCCGGCACGGAGCCCGAGACGATGTCGCGGGGAGCATCCGGGAGTTGGGGCACTTGTGGACCGCCAAACCTCCGGCACTGCGGAACCAGCGCTCGCAGGAAGAACATTGTCGGCTACCTCTCTGTTCTGATACAGGTTTGCGGCGCTCATCGAGGCATTTATGGCGAGGCAAACCACTCCTGGAGAAGAGACGGCCACACTCGGCACAAGGTATCCGCAGGGGCTCACAAACGGGTTCGGACGGGGGCAGAACACTGCAAGCGGCCCGCCATTCCCGTCTGTCCTGGGCCAAGTCATACCATTCGTCGATGCCCAACGCCGCCAGATCCTTCCGCGCAGCATCGCGCCACCTTTTCCTCGGGCCGCACATTGGACGGACAGGATGTAGGGTGCCAAACAGTAGTTGACGCGGGGCACGCTCCTCATGCATTCGCACAACATGCCCAAGCCACTCCATGCGGCGCGATGTCAGCAGGCTGGGGATGTCACGGGGCTGACGCGGATTCCACCGCTCCAGAACATCAACCCTGGTCAGTCGTTCGTCCCAGACATTCCGCTGGCTGATACCCATCACGGAACGGATGCAGCGCAGATGGAAAGAGCACAGTGCATCAAGGTCGGGCCTCAACGGCACCCAACACTCGGCACAGTACAGAAGCAGAGACAACACGCATGCCCCGTACACAAGCCGCTTCGTAGCAAGCGAGAGGTTGCTGTCAGTGAAAACCGGCTGGCGCAGGGCTCCAAATGCACGTGATGCACCGGCAATGCGCAAGCTGATATCTGGGGTAGATCGGCCATTTGTGTGGAGGAGAGAGCCAAGATAACGGAAACTATCTACACACTCGACCACCTCACCCGCCACGTCCAGGGGCAGCCGGTCTGCTTCCGCGAGTCCATATCCAGCAGCCATCACCTTTGTCTTGTCCAGGTTGACTGTCAAGCCGAAAGAATACGCTACATGTATGAATTGGTCAAGGGCCCGCTGTGCACCATCATGAGTGGTAGCCAGCAGAGCAGAGTCATCTGCAAATTGACACTCGCGATGGACCTTGCTCTTGTCTGTTGACTTCCGACTGAATAGGAGACTGCCCCAGGGTTTGTTGCCACAGGAATACCAACGCCAGGAATGTCGGCAACAGCACGATGCCACTGCTGGAAAACGGCCCACATCAACAGATTGAAGAGTACCGGTGCCATGCAGCAACCCTGCCGAAGGCCGTTCCGCACCTCAATTGGTGGCGCATCAACTCCCGGGATCTTCAACGTTGCTGTCATATTGGTGTGGAAAGAGCGTATGATATTGATGAGGCGCTCAGGGACACCTGCCTTCTTGAGGATAATCCATAGGCATTGGCGGCCGACAGAGTCATACGCCTTACGGAGGTCTACGAAGACTAGAAAACCCTTGCACCGATGTTCGTAGAGCTTCTCTGCGACCTGCCGAACGGCGAAAACCATATCCGTGCATGACCGACCCTTCCTAAAACCACATTGGGAGTCGGGAAGGATGGTCTCGGCCAAAGATTGCAAGCGGCGCTGAATCATGGCAGCAACGACCTTGCCAACCACCTCCAACAAAGCAATGCCCTGCCAATTATCGCATTTGGCAAGGTTGCCCTTCTTCGGGATGGGGACCAGATTGCTACACACCCACTCTTGAGGGACTGCTTCGGCCTCCCACACGGTACAGTCCAAGAGGGCACATATAAGAGCGGGGCCACCGGCCTTAACCATCTCAGGTAAGATGTCAGAGCCGCCAGCCGCCTTCCCATTGCTCATGGCTGACACCGCACGCTGAAGCTCAGCAAGGTTCGGTGGTTCGCCAAGCTCCTCGACGATGTCCTGCTGTTCCACCTGATCGATAACACCGGAGTCGAATGTGCTGGGGATGTTGGAGACCTTGGTAAAGTGGCGCGACCATCGCTGTCCCTGCTCCGCCGGAGAAGTACAGATGTTGCCATTCTCATCTAGGATTGCCATACTTGGGATTGGCTTGTGGCCAGATCGGGCATCTTGTAAGGACCGTATTCCGGCCCACACGCGTGCGGAATTAAACCGGCCACTCTCAACCCTGCCCGCAACTGTGGCGAACCACTGGTTCTTAGCCGTGCGCACTGCCTGCCTAGCCTGTCGTCGTGCCGTGCGCAGCTTCTGGTAGTCATCGTTCCGACGGCCATTCGTTATCCAAGACCGATGGCAGGCATTACGTTCCACCAGTAGCGGCTTCAAAGTATCCCTGCTATCAGCAAACCAGTCCGGCTGTCGGCGACCCTGGCGGCCCAAGGCAGACTGTGCGGCATCTGTCATAGCACTACGGATGTTGTTCCATTTACACAGTGGAGCAGGGGTCGGCGGCACCCCTGAGCCTGGCAGCGATACTGTCTTGATACTCGTCAACAACACGGCGGACCTGACCATTGTCATCAGTGGATACAATATCCGGTAAGCGGCACGTTGCAAAACGAGCCCTCTTGGTCTGTGCGGCCGGCTTACGCCACCTGACACGACCCAGCCGGAAGCGCATTGCGAGTAGACTGTGATCACTGCCACACTCAGCCGATGGGATAATCTGTGAATCCGTACACCGGTGACGGTCCCTCCGAGCAACTATGATGTAGTCGATGCAGTGCACATGGCGACTCCTAGGGTGCATCCACGTACCCTTCAACTCTGCTTTCTTACAGAACCAAGTGTTACATATCCAGCCCTCATGCATGGCCAAGAAACTGAGGAGGTGCTCACCAGAAGAGTTCAAAATGCCAAGGCCATGTGGGCCACGCACCCTGCACCAGCTGTCCTGACTGTGTCCACTTCCGACCCTGGCGTTTTTCGTCAAAGTCCAGGAAAACTTCGGTGTAAACAAGGAAAGGAGATGGTAACCTGCTGCACAGCATATTTCATTGCCGCCCAGCAAAAATTTTTTTCACTCGGGGCGATGTTGTTCATGACATTCTGGAGCGACGCATAGAACTCGTCCTTTGCAGAGCGTTTGCTCCGAAAAGTCGGGGCATACGCGGTGACAATGGTAATCCAGTCTGTATTCACACACACACAAACACACACACACACACACACACACACACACACACACACACACACACACACACACACACACACACACACACACACACACACACTTGCTATTGTAATTCCATTTATTCCCGTGGCTATGCAAGAGACGTAACTTCAGTAATGTCAGCTTTAATCCTGTGTTTTTGTGTGTTTGTGCCGTCGGCATGCCTGGCACTATCCCGCACATGGCCCGTACCATCAAAGACAGCTGGCCACAATATTCAAATAGGGCTTTCAAATGCAAGATCATAACATGAAGCAACTTGGAAGAATGAGTACTGTATGCATGCAAGTGTATCGGGGGAATGCATTTTATTATCATTATTTTTTTACAATGATCACCGCTCACAGGTAAAGACAAAAAATTGCACAGTGAGAGCATAGTGATGGTGAGGCTTTTTGCCCTCAGCCGTGAAAGGAGTGACCGGGACATGATACGAAATGTTAGGAGGAGAGACAGTACATTAGAAGGAGGGGAAGGATAAGACAGACAGTGCTAGGAGGAGAAGGAGAGAAAAGAAGAACAGATGTTATTGGGAATAGTATGTGGAGCGGAATTTGGAAGTCATGGGGTGAGGCAGATATGATGATGATAATCAGAGATGGTCATGTGCGCATGCAGGACGATAGTGGGGGTTTGAATCCTAGCTTGAGCTTTTTTGCCTAGGTCATCAACGTGGTGGACGGTGTCGTATTTATTACCCTCGAATGCAAAGAGAAAGTTGACACTCGCTAAGCAAAACAGCATAGCGTAGGGCCCTGGGCTTCCCAGCTCTCTCGTTTTTGAACTGATTTCAGGTATTTTCTCCTGGTCTTGCACTGTGCAGAAGAGGATGCAACGGCTCTATCCATAGATCAGCTTCATCGCAAGATGAATGTTGTAACAATAATCTCTTGTGTTCATCTGGGTGTCGATCTGCTGCTGGTCATAGGAATTGTAGTAATCGCAGTGATTCGTTCAGGGATTCTACGTAAGATTAATTGTATAGGTGAGTACATAGCAGACTCAGCGGTATGAGTAGGTATGAGTACATAAATATTGTAGTGACAGACGTGGTGGAAATGCTTGCTGGTCAAGCCTTATCCGAACCAACCTTCATCCATTTCAATGCAAAGTGGCGTTGGTGCCCGTTTTGCACACGCACACACACGCACACGCACACACACGCACACACACACACACACACACACACACACACACACACACACACACACACACCTTGAACCTTGACCCTGAACTTGCCCATAGGCAATGATAGCGAAAGAACTAATTCGGCGGCAACCGGCAGCAAGGTTTGTGGCGCTTGAGATAGCCGTGGTGGCGGCACGTCTTCCCGCAAGCACAACGATACTCTGGCCCGGCGGAGACATCACGGAGGCTGAGGACGACGGTGGATGACCTCCCTCCACTCCGAGCGGTTCTGGGCAGTGTCGAGCCATTCCTTCTCCTGGGCCGCTGGATGAATGCGGTTGAAATCGTCCTCAAACACATGCCGCCCACGCACACACACACACACACACACGCGCACGCGCACACACACACACACACACACACACACACATACTGTTACATGTACATTGTGTGTATACAGTCCCGGTGTTCATGGTATGACCTGTGCTCAGTATTTTGTGAGTACATATACTTACGGTTCATGGCAAGTAGCAACTGGTAATACAACTGGTAATACAACTGGTAATACAACTGGTAATACAACTGGTAATACTCTGATTTTTGTGCAGGTCTCTTCTGTGCACCATATTGTACTGAAACCAGACATTCTCGAGCTGCTGAAACTCATTTTGCCAACTCTGTGCTTTAATTTTTCTCTCAATTGTCTTCCTAAGGGAAGACGGATTGAATGCCGCCAGTATGGAGATGAGACTGAGCATGCCAGCCACGCAAGCACTTCCTCTTTGGATATCACATTCGTCATCTTGCTCAGCTGGTGAGTGCAAACACTTCGGCACCAAACACAAGCACACATGATTGTTCTACTTCGCAGTGGCCTGCTAGTTTATTTTATTCCTGTAGCTATGCAGAAGACGTTACTTCAGTAACGTCTGGCGCTAGCCAGGGTCCACATAGCTTTAATTTGGTGTTTGTTTGTTTGTGTCACGCCTGGCGCTATCCCGTATCTGTCCCGTACCGTACCATCAAACACAGCTGGCCACATACAGTTGGCCGCAATATTCAAATAAGGCTTTCAAACGCAATATCATAACGTGAAGCAACTTGGAAGAATGAGTATGAATGCGAAGTGTATGGGGGAATGCATGTAGGGCGATAATGCGGGTTCGAATCCTGATGCCTGAAAAAAGGGGAGAATTGAAAAAATTATAAACTCCCTTTTCTTTTGTTGCCGTCATCAAGGCGGTAGACGGTATCGTATTACCCTCGACCGTACCTGTCCCGTACCTATCCCGTACCGTACCATTCAAAGACGGCTGGCCACAATGCATATTTAAATAGGGCTTTCAAATACAAGATCATAACGTGAAGCAACTTGGAAGAATTGGTATGTATGCGAAGTGTATCGGGGGATGCATGCAGGGCGATAGTGCGGGTTCGAATCCCAGGTTATGTCTAAAAACAAAAAGTAGAACATTTATAACATCCATATGCTTTTTTTGTCTAGGTCATCAAGGCAAAATAGCATAGCGTAGGGCCCTGAGCTTCCAAGCTCTCTCGTTTATTATAATTTTATTTCACCGCCAGTGGCAAAAGCCAATACAAAGGGTAGGGCGTTAGCCAACCATGGCAAAAGAAGGTCAGAATTTTTGGGTTGGAGCAGAACCCTCCCACCGACCCTCATGCGATACACCCACATTCGAAGGAGAGTTCAGGAATTATGTTGTTCTGATTCTCACTTTCGTGTGTTGTATTTTGAATTCGTTCATTTCATTCGGCTATGCTACGCTGTCCTGAATTGGCTCTCAGCGGCAGCGAGTGGTAGGGAAATGTTGGGGTTATCCGCAGGTGACATGTTTGGAGATGTCGCTGTTGCTGATGTTTGTATGCTTGTGGTTCTCTTATGGGAAAGCTGGTGTGCCTGTTTACCGTGAGAGGTTTTTTGTGCACATTTGGCTCTTTGTGCCACTTATTTATAGGTCGTGGTGAAATATAGGAATTAAGGATTCGAGTTCAATGCAAAAACATCAAAAATAGAGAGGTAAAGATAGCTGTGTATATGCTGATAATCATAATTGATAAAATCCATTACCGGTCACTAGCTGTGCTACTCTATAAGTCCTATGATGTGCTAAACGGCTTGAATACAAAGGCAAGTATTTCTCTTCAGGCTTTTCCCATTGCAGCTCCCTCAAACTATCTTTTCTTTCCCATTCTACACAATAATGCTGTGTGTTTGAATCCACTGTGTATTTTACTGTTGATCTACAGGTTGCCATGCCAATGACCTGTAAGGTTGTGTTTCAAGCCGGAGACTATTGAACACTCCCCATCATAATTACAGCTCCCAGCTGCCCTGCATACAGTGAAGCTACCATGCATCTTCATGCAATGCTGCAGTTGTGCTGGGAAAGTAACCGCGGGTAGATTCCGACATATTGTTCATTCAATTTATCCAGTACATTACATACACACTGCAGTTGCACATACTCTTTTTCAACAGTACAATCATCACTCTGTAGTAGTTCTGTCTTTAGCTCACATCAAGTCCTGTAGTCTGATCTTTGTTCCATGCAATCAGTTTATGCACTCATTGTAGTCACTGTAGGATGAGCTGCCTGATTTCAAAGCATTGTGCCTTTGTTTGTCTTCTATGTTTTGTCCCAGCTATCTAGTCAGCTCAAGTCTCAATTCTGCATAACTTGTTTCTATACAGTTATCCTGTACTGTGATCATATAATATTCATAGCTGCCAGCTAGCACCCATCACTGTGCTTGGTGTACTCGACTGTCTCATTTTTCTTGTCTTATTTTGGCCAGCAATAATATAATGCTGGATCACTTGAACCCGTGATGGTTGTTAAGTCAATTTAGTCCAATAATACTGTGCAAGATAATGTGACTTGCATTGTGGACCAATACATGCATTAACGCACTATGGACGCAGGCATACATATTAATACTATTGTCGCAAGTAAATCCCACTGAAACTGCGGCCATGAATAGCAGTTCAGGTGTACTCTAGTGATCACAAACAACTTCACAAGTAGCACATTGCTTTGTATATTATTATGTTCAGTATGTCTGATAGCACTTGCTCAAGCAAATGATACCATAGTGAGATTACTCAATTCATCCAAAAATAGTCCTGCTGCCTTTTGAAACCCCATTTTGTCGGAATCGAGGCGCTAAAACACTTCATATTTCCGTCTTCAAATGTGTTCTTGTTATATACATGTATATATGTTGGACTCAGTAGAGCGTCCAGCCCCTATATGATGTCCAAGCCCTATATAGAGTCCATTGGTTCAAAATCCACTGTACAGAGTCAAAACTTGGAATCAACTGTGAGCTCAAAGTTTCGATGGACATCACTCCCTGTATAGAGTCCAGCCTATTGGCTTCACCCCCTATCGAGTTCGAAAATAGACATAGGATCTGCTGTAAGCAGTGAATATTAACCAGAAAACGGCCTCTCCCTTTAATCCTTTACATCATTCACTTCTCAAGATAAAAAAATATGTATTGAGGCGCCACTGCAGCCACTTCATTACATGAAAAACCCTACAAACACCATCCTCAAATCAAGTGGTCTCTTCACAGACGCTGCAAATTACAATATCTCAATTATGTAGTGTTGCCAAATTATTGTGCACGCAAACACACATGCACACACCCACACAACGCCAAGAAAATACCTAGAAAAAAACCAAGAATCGAAAGAGAATAATGGAGAGCCCAGGATTAATTATTTGTTTTCAAATTATTGTGTGCGCGCGCGCGCGCGCGCACACACACACACACACACACACACACACACACACACACACACACACACACACACAAACTTATACAACGCCAAGAAAACACCAAGAAAAGAGTAGAGACACAATACACACGCAACTCAACAGCCATGCAAACGTCCACCCATTTACATGTAAAGTCAAGAGGGATAACAAATAATTATACGAAACGAATGCGTACGGGGACGGGTATACGCACGTTTACATACACGTAGTAGTGTAAGAGAGTAACATAGTGCAGTGGTCAGCATAATACTAGCACATGCTGAGAGTGCAATAGCAAGCTTCACCATCGCTCATGGCCATGCAAATGTTCAGCAGCACTCAGTTCCGCAAGCTTCTGAAGATCAGCACACCTGCAACAAATAGATAGCACAAGGATACGCTTATTACCGTAATGATGCATGGGAGCACACAACTACCAAGTTCTCAACGAATGTGATGCTCAATGAAAATCAATCCACTCAAAGACCTGTGAACAGGTGATGGTGGGGACAATAATCTATTAGTAATACGAGGAATAAGATCGTTTGTGCACACTCAAGACGCACAGACACACCAACATACATGTAGTGTACACAGTGTTGCACTTCACTGCAACTAAATTGAAATGAGATGATTTGAACAATCTGTACAGCGTTGCTGTCAGTCAGTCTTCCCCAAGATGGAAATGCAATGATTTGTTGTCACGAGGCAGTTTCACTGACACAATGTCATGTTCGTGACATCAAAACGGTTACTTCAGGGAATACGAGTATTAGCTTGAGAAGCTTTTTCTTGTCATTGGCACACAAGCAATCCTCCTAGTCCTACTACTACTAGTACACTGGCACTGCGTTTGTGGATCCCATTGTATTTGACATCATACTACAGGAAGAGTGTCGTGGAGTTCACATAATTATCACAGGGATAAAAATACATTTCTCATGAAATAAAATAATAATTGATGATAGCTAGACGATCATACGATTGATGCAAAGTCCTTGCAGTCCTTGAGGACTATTACGAAGTGGTTGATTACTTTTAGGGCATTCATTTAAGCAACATCAAACAAACGCGATACGCTCCTTGAAAATGGAAAAAAAATTCAAGCATAACGACAGAACAGCAGACCAATCGAAACGAGTAAAAGCTTCCTTACCTCAGTCATCGTCCTGCCATGTAGTTGGACAGCCTTTTGACACGGTGGTACAGGCAGCTCTTGTCCAGTCAAACAGGGGTATCCTTGTGGCGTCGAACGAAAGAGAGTGTCAGTATCTGACTCGTCAGATTGCAACTGTGCTGAACTTTTCTCTTTCTCCGCTTTCTGCTTTCATCCCTCGCTCTGATGAAACCGTTCAAACGTCTTACTGGCAGCAATGGCCAGCCAAACAGGGGATCCTTGTGGCGTCGAACGAAAGAGAGCGTCAGTGTACCTGACTCGTCAGATTTGAACTGTGCTGAACTTTTCTCGTTCTGCAATTTCTGCTTTCATCCCGCGCACTGATGAAACGTCTTCAGAGAACCACAAGACGCTTTCCAGATTTGATTTTGAACGTCTCCTTATCCTCCTTGGTTAGCTCGAGACAGATTACTGTCAGCAACTGCACAGCAGAATTGGCAGCCGTGGCTGAAGTGAAGAAAGGAATGCGCTGCCACGAGGCAAGCAAAACTGAAAATGTGTTCTCTTTCGGGCACAACACACAGGACGGCGTGACTGGATATACTGGACTCCTGGACCGTGAATAGGGGACTTGTAGAAAAAGTGTACTCCTTATAGGGGATTGCGCGGCAGGATGAAGCTGATCAAAACTGAGTGGACTCCTGGACTCTGTATAGTGGATTTTGGACCAATGGACTCTATATAGGGTGCTGGACATCATATAGTGCATGGACTCTATACTGAGTCCTACATATAAAAAAAGGTGACTTCATGTACTCAGCGGGTAACCACATGGTAACAGATTCAGCAGCTAACATCATGCATGTGTGAATCATACGAGCATCAGCAAACTACTAACTTGGTCAACAATTTGAGGGTGGTAACCATTTTGCTCCAAGTCCAAAACATCACGTTTTTTAGCCATGTATTGGGCAGCAGGACTTTTGCCAGCACCCTCGTGACGTTGCAGATATGTGGCTTGATTATTGTAGTTGACGTTGATTTAGTGACTTTGGCAAGTTTGAGTCGTGTCAAGAAGTCAGGTAGGATTCAGGACTAGGCAGTAGTGGAACGTGAGTGGTAGTCTTTGCCGATTTTTGAGGGTATCCTGGATTTGGTGGAAATGGCTTGCTGTGGAGGTCCCAGCACTGGATGTTGTATCAAAGGTACGACCTCGTAGCTAGCCCTTTCCCAAAGATGCCAAAATATTTCGCAACTTTACCTGGGATGCTTTTCGCAACCATGCCAAAACAAGCGAAAGTTGCTGAAAAAGCATCCATATTTTCAGAAAAAAAGCTTGAAAGTTGCTGATATCGAAACTCAAATTGAGCGAGTTCTTGTGCATAATATCATAGCATTATTGCTCAGTGCTTACTACAACCATCCACGGTTGGCAGAGCCGGTTCAAATGGTCGCAAGACTGGGGCTCTGCCAACCGTGGATGGTTGTAGTGAGGTCACTGTTTCCAAACACAATGGTCCTCCGCCTTGTAACATGTTGTTGTTGACTTTTATTTTTACTTCACCAATGGCACAGGCATGATTGCCTTCTCACAGAAAGATGAAGGATGCTGTCAAACAACAATGCATGTAGTATGTGCAAGACTTCTGTTACATACATGTTCTTCGAGAAGTACACTTGTTATGATGATTTGATGCAATTTTTCAGCGCTTCAAATTGTAAATGCATTTTTTTGGCCCCTGGGTGGCTCGCACACCGTGGCACTATGCCGAATTTTGAGTTTTTCAGGCCGGGAAAGCCTATCGGTGAGGCTCAAGAACTTTTAAATCATATCCAGAGGGCCAGCATAGTGGCAGGAGTGTGTGGTGAGTAGGCCTGGGCGGATAATGCTAGTTATTTTGCGGGATAATGCTAATGGCAATGCCAGAAAAACTGTATCATAATGCTACTTATAATGCTGCTGTTCCTCTATAATGCCAGCAATTCACCAGAAGTAAGTATGGAAAAATGGCTTGGTTTGGGCAATAATGTGCACGTTTCATAGTTCTACGTAGCCGGCATGGAAAATGCTAGAAAATCATGATCATAATGCTAATTTTATGCTGCTATTGCTCCATACATGTATACAATCCCTTACAGCTAGATGTCCAGCGAGGAAAGTCTCGAGTGGAGGCCTCTCGATCTGCTCGCTCATTCGCCTGGCATTCAGTAGCACTTCATCGCAAAGGACTTCAATTCAAAACAGTTTTCACACTGCGCTTCAAGCCCTTTTCCTCGTGAACTCGCTGCAAACGTATGAGCTCTGCTGCGCGTGTTCCCTTTGTGTGAGGCCCAGAAACAGCTAGTATCTCCGTACTTTGATTGGCTGGATCGATGTCGTCCAGGTTCTCCTCGCTATCGCCATCACGACTCTAACTGGATACGATTTCTTCACCATTTTCCGCAAACAGCAGCTAGAGCAGAAATTTCGCCATCCCTGAGTGTAGGAGATGGAATCCGTTCGATCAGCCCAAAAACTCTTCGTTGTGACAAGAGGAGTAGCAGGAAATATTCTACCGGAAGCCCTTTGACTTCCCTGAATGCTGAAACCCTTCCTGCCTTGACCATGTTGACTGCTACTTCTTCAAACAAGCGAGATTCTCTTTGGTTCCACTTCACTGCACTTGAGCGTCCACGAGACACAACCTTTTTACAAAACAATTTTTCTCCAAAAAATGATTTTCACCCTAAGCCTGGTTTTCGCAGAAGTTGGGCCATTGGAGTATACCGGTAATGCCACTTCTGTGGAAATGTAGTGTTACAATGCTAGCATAATGCTCGTTGCAAATCGCACACTGTAATGCTACTTATAATGCTAGCATTATCCGCCCAGGTCTAGTGGTGGGAATTTCACTCAAATCCCCATCTTGTGGGGCGCAGTGGCCGCAGTCACCCAGTTTCGGTGGAAGTGCGCGAGTTCGATTGGGATTCAAGTAGGAAGGGAGCGTCTCCGCTTTCTCGGACCAAGACCATTCGACTCAGCACCCCGAAGACTACAACTGGTGAAATTTTAATTTTTGCCTTAACTTCCCCTCTAGGGAATCATCTCGTATCCTCTGATTAGGCATTGGCGGATAATGCTCGAAAAGGTGGCAGATTCTGCTCGAAAAGCAGTGAAATCGGTAGAACCATACAAACCTTATGGCCGGCAATTCCTCGAATTCTGCTCCATTTCTTTATCCACATACCAAACATGCACGAAACTTACCAGAAAAAGTACCGAATTCTGCCAATTTTTCTGCCGGCATTATCCGCATATGCCAACCTCTGATTAACCCTTGGCGGGTCGGGTTATGGTCG